AGGGAGATGTAAGGTACAGCCCGGCCAGTTTGGTGTGTACACTTGACATAGCTAAAAGGCAGCACAGAGGAAGCGAAAATAGACCTGTCTGTGTGTTTGCTAGAAGGGATGGCTGGCCAGGAACAGGGTTTTCACATGTGCTTTGCTTGATCGGTACAAATTTGGGAAAAAAAATGCTGTTCAGAATAGGAAAGGCACAGGTCTTTTGGTGAATATTTTTTTCTGAAAAGGAAACTTGCTGTTTTGTGCCTAAAAGTGCATTTTTTTATGGAATAAGGGAACAATTTATTTGCCTTTCTTACAGAGAATGTATCTGTAACTGCTAAAAATATTAAAGTATTTAATTGTAGAACTAGGTTATCATCTCTAATAAAAAAAAAATCCCATATTTCTCCAATGACCTACTAAGAATTAGGACTTTGTGTTTTATTATATTCTTTTTAAGTGGATAAAATATGTTAAAGGCATAAAATGGGGTAAAAGTTATGGAGTTATTTTAAAGAGTCACTGTCTGCTATAGAACATGTTCCTATTTAATAAAATTGACCTGGGAGTATATATTTAATTCTACCTGATGGTATAATAATGTTTATTCTGTAAAATACATTTTCATATAATAGTCGTTCAAGAATCCAGACAAAATTGGTGAAATGTAGGTGTGGTTGGTAAAGCAAAACTTTATGGATGTGGATGCTCAAATGCCAACAGATTCTTTTAATCTCTATTAAAACACCGTAGGTGATTGAATAGATTTGTTTAGTGGATTATCATGAGTAAATGTGACATCAAATAACATAGAATGAATAATTCACTTCAAAACTTGATTTTGTTTGACAGTGAGTATTTGTTATATTATGGATGTGCCGTGTGCTTTGGCTTTTCTGATATAATTCATCACTAACTGCTGAACTATAAAGGAAAATATGAGAGTCTTTACATCTGTTTGCTTGGATTTGTCTTTTTCCACTTGGCATTTGCAAATGTTGATAGTATTAAAAATAGATTTATACTTGGTGTTAATTTATTGATGCAGTTGACTCTTTAGAAACTTTTTGACTGTGAATTGGTAAACAAACTGTCTTCCAAAACAGCGTAGCATAAATTGCAATGGAAAATCATGAAAGGCTAAGCATCCATGCCAAAATTCTCACACATGTATATTAATGACAACGTTCTGCAAGTAATGTAGTTTGTGTTCTTTTTTTCCTTTAAATATGATAAAAGTCTGAGCTTCAGATTTTTTTTTTTGATTTTAAATCTCTGTTGTGGTAAATTTAAATTGGTAATTTATTTATATTCTAGATCAATTATATTTACTATTGCGTTTATAAAAGTGGTTTATGAGAGTTTCTTATTTAAATAAGAATTCCCCTTTGCTTCTCTTTCATTAGCCAGCTTGGGGAGTGGTTAATCCGTTACTGGTGTTTCAGATATTAGCTCTGTTGTACAGTGTCCTGTCTTCTTTCTGGGCTGTAGTGGTTCAGTTTTATGGAATATGGGCAAGGGAGAAGTTCCTTGGCACATCCCTGTCTTTCCTTACAGGTTTTAATACCCTTCTACCAACTAATAAATTTGGTGGTGGGGGACGAACCTTTGGTGCTTACCTGTTCTTGGTAAGAGGTTAGGTAAAAGCAGTGCTGCTGATCTATGTTTTGTTGCTGGGATTTGGGATTTGATAACATTTGGAAAGAAAAACGATACAGGAAATTTCTTGATACAATTCAGGAAACTTAAAGGCATCGCCAAACAGAAGGGTGTTGCTTTATTTTAAGTAGCACAATCTCTTTAACTTACCATTTTTCACAAACATCATTAAAAAGCAGTGTCATGTTTTTATTATTTATGCTTTTTCTGGAAGGCGAAATAGCATCATCAAAGTTTATCTACTCCTCCTGAAGAAATTATTTATCAAAAAAATCATCAGCCTCGTGAAAAGGGAAATTCTTAGTGATCTACTAGTGCCAAAAGGCTGGTCTAATAAAAACAGCCCTTAAGTCACCTTCATGACATTCTGTGGCCAGCAGGAAGACACTGGTCATGAACTTAAATGAATGCCAGCTGCATTTTGCACTCCTTGCATCAACCTAAATGTTCTGTGTCTTGCCCCATTAGAAGACCTAAAACCATACGACAGCAGTAGAATTACTGAAGTTATTGTTAAGCAGTTCCAGCCCTTTTCTCACAAAATGGATGAGTTCAAGGTGGTAGCCTGGGATCTGACCCTGTGCTTGGATTCGCGTGGCGCTTTCCATCCCTGCGTGGCCTCCATATGAGCCCTGCTCGCCTTCGTCCCCAGCCTACAGGCTCATGTCACAGTCATCACTGTCCAAGCAGTAGGTCTCCTGTGTATAAAGGTGAAATAATATTTTTAAGTAATGTTTCTCAACAAAAGATGGTATCGTAGAATTTAAAAGCTCCTTGTATTTTGCTTTCTTAAAGCAAAAGTATTTTGCAGTCTGGCACTGTTTCACAGGGGAGTAGCTGGCAGAACATGGTTTGGCCTTTCTGCATTAGCATCATTTGTACATGTGTAGGGTTTTATTATTATTATTATTTTATTTTTTTCTCCAGCAAGCAGCAAGGGAAGCACAAAATTACCAGCCACATCTCGCATCTTGCATCCCTTTGCTTTTGGTTAGGTGCACCAGCATTTGTACAGCACTCATTAAGAACCATTACCTTTCAGTGGCCGATCACGACTTTCACATCAGCTCGAGATATTAGGTTTTACTAGAGAGATTTTCATTCAACTGTCAACTGACTAGAGTCTCTTTATTTTTCCCACGCTGTCAGTCCTGCCAGCCTGGGCTGTCGTGCAGTGCCAGCAGTGAATCTGCTTTTCTACCATTATATGCCCAGAAAATACTTCAAAGGGCCATCGTTTGGCCAGCTCCCCATGTTGCAGGCCTGGAACCAATCTCAGCAAAAAAGATGGAAGCGATGGGAGGATCTCTGTTCAAAGCAGCTGGAACTGAGGGGCTTGAGGGGCTAAAACTGTCTTTAAAGAGCTGGCTTCCCTTGAAGGGTTACAAATAATTAAATAAATGTTTAAATGGGCCCTTCCTTACAAATTCCCCCTTCTGGCACTCTTGCTTGCCTCTGAGAAGCAAGCAGCTACTGCTTGATCCAAATTCAAGTGTTAATAATATCCAATATACATGATTTATTATTATTTGTTATTTATTTTTTATCCATGATAACCAGGTAACAGATATTGAATTCCAGTTGAGCTAGATTCCAAGAAATTTTAGCTTGGTGAGCTTGCTCAGCATTACCCCTGAGCTTATACCTAGTCTACTGTTTTATAAGAAAATTATTCTAATTATTCAGTGACACTTGCTATGAATCCTACTGTAGTGAAAGTAATAAGCTGTCTTGGTGTGTATTTATATAAATAGTCATTGTTCTAACATTTTTAAGGGTAGGCTGGTGGTTTTTTCCAGTAGAGGTTGGTCACCAAAGGGATGTGCTAAGGCTTGAGCTGTTGGCCACATACATAAAGGATGTGGAAAATGGGGTGAATAGTGACGGTAGCGAGCTGAGACTCTAGCTATTTTAGGAGGCCATTAGAGTAAAGATGATGGAATATCATCTGCTGTTTTATCACTCGCAGGGGAAGGAGTCCTGATTTTACATATAGGGTAATGGATCATGAATTGTTACCACACAGAGAAGAGTGCAGCCAATTTTGTTAAAAATGTCAGTTTAGCAGCGACTGAAAGAGTAAATCAAATGTTAGGAAGGGAATAGAGATCTCAATGGAAATGATCATTATGCTACTTCCCACATTCATGGTTCACTTGCAGCTGGATTATTTGTGTTCATCTCTGTGTTGTGTCTCAGAAGAGGTAGGAAGGTAGGTTGAATAAAGGCAGCAGGGATGATCCAAATTAGTCGGGCTGTATAAGAGAGAGTCAAGTGAGTTAGAATTTTTCAGGCTGGAACATGAACAGTGGACAGAAGGGAGAGTAACAGCTTTGAGTTTTGGGTGGTTTAGGGAGAGTGAGCAGCGTGTTCACCTTTTTTCCAGTATTAGACATGAGGATGTCCCATGAAACTGTCAGCAGGTGGCTCAAAATAAAACCAGTGAGATACCTCCTCATCAACAGGGTGAAATCCTTGGCTGCAGGACATTCTGGGTGCTTTAAGTTGGCATGAGTTTACATACATTCCTGGCAGAAGCATTAACCTCAAATAAGCCAAAATACAGAGCCTCAACCTCTGGCTGAGAATGTACCGGAGTCGCTGAAGGTGCTGCAACATTTTGGGAATATCTGTGTGTACTTAAATTCCTCTGTGGAACTGTAGGCCATGGTCAGAGATGCTTCTGGGATATGTGGGCATATTGACCTGACCTTGTACAGCTGGTTGTGTTCATGGGATTTGGTTTGTGTATTGTCCAGTGTTGATCTGACTTCTCACGTCTCATCCCCACTGCCCAGAAATAAAAGAAAAAAAAAAAAAAAGACTGGCAGGTATGCTCGTTGAAATTTGTAATGTATCTATTTATTTCACTACACCTAGAAAAGCTTCTCCATTTCTGCTGTGGTCTGCTTTCTAAGATGTAAATTAATAGCAAAAAAAAAATGGCAAAAAACCCAAAGGGAACCAAAGCAAAAAGTGCCTGAAACAATGATTTCCCCACCTCTGTCCTTTGCATTTATTTGGATCCATTTCATGTAGAGGATAACCTAAATTATGCAGAGTATTCGTTGCTACTGAGATAGAAAAGTTACGTGTAGTGTTTGATGGATGATTAGAGGAGGGAAAATAAATCAATGATACAGAATAATCAAAGTTTTAGTTCTAATAAGCAGAAACAAAATACAAAAGAAGGAAAACCTGACAAGAAATATGAAACTGTGCTTAACTCATCCCCATGCTTCCAATTTTCTTTCAATCCAGAAAGAATCTGTTATCAAGTTGATGATGTGTCTGTTCTGTTGTGCTTAGAGAAATGTCTCTGGCTTATTACAGCACGATCTTTTTTTCTCTTGTAGGTTAACAGAACCTTCTGGATATTTAACAGATGGACCAATAAATTATAAATATAAAACTAAATGTACATGGTTAATTGAAGGATAGTAAGTATTTATTTTTACAGCTTAAGTTTTCTGACAGCTCGGTACTGTGTATTCTAGAGGTTGAAAGAACTCCTTAAGTAGAAACTGGCTTGGGTGGAACAAGTGACAGCAGCCCTGTCCTTCAACAGCTCCCGCTTGCTGCCTTCTCCCTGCAGGCTGTTGATTGTAGCCTGCTCAATTAGCCCCAATTAGGAGTGATCTGGTGCTGCTTTGCTAGCAAGTGGTGTGTTCACCCGTGCTGCTGAGCTGTGCGTGGAACAAACGCAGACGTGCAAAGGCACGGCTCGAAATGCATTCACATGTGTTTGCATCCTCAAATAGCAGTTCCGGCTTTGAAGTTGGGGGAAAAAAGAAAAAAAAGATTTCTTGTATTTCCTCACTAATATTGCGTGCTATTCTAAACTTTTTAAAAGGTCTTATTTTCATGTTCTCAGCCACACAATGCTAGAATAAAGATTTGCAGGTGATTGGTTTCTTTTTGATAGCACCTTCAAAAGTGGCAGTTCTGACAGATGAAAGTAAAAGTTAAGATAAATATGATATTGAAAGTGGATATTTCAATGTCTCTAAATTTGTGGGTTTAAACACTGATAAAACCTTGGAAATTAATAAATCCCTTGTTAATGGTAGGGATTATTAGTCTTTGACTGTAACTGTTATTTTTAAAGCATTTTGAAATGAAATACATATTTGCTTGTCCTGAGTTTTGTTACTTAAACCTGTGTTTTACTAGTGCTTAAAGTGCTTTAATAAAGTTACACTGTCATGATATATTTTAAATTCTGTGTGTTATAAGCCCGTAATTCTGCTAAGTAATGTTTTACATCAGTATTCTTATTTTTTTCAGTCCTAATGCAATACTAAGGTTAAGATTTAATCACTTTGCTACAGAATGTAGTTGGGACCATATGTATGTATATGATGGAGATTCAATATATGCACCTTTAATAGCTGTATTTAGGTGAGTATATATATATATTACCAGTAATCATGTGGACATATTTTTGGTTTGAAGGGAAAGAATGACATCAGAGACTTTAATTTGTTAGATATTTTTCATTCTTTTATTAATACCAAGGGGACACTCATATAAGTTTGTGTTAGAATAAGTTGCTGAATTTTTGGATAGCGTAATGCTACAGTTTTTCATTAAGTGATCGGTGCATTAAATCCGTTATGTGGCTAGCGCTTAATGCTGACATAGCATGGAGAATTAATGCTCATAGATATGAAATGTGAAATTTATTTCCCAATAGACTTTCAGTATTGACTGTTAAGTTTTAATGTTAGTGAAATGGGGCATTGGTCAATAAAGTCAGTAAATTATCCTATTTAAGAGAAAATCACAATTTTGCAACTCATGCAATAAAGATACTGCGCTATGTGTAAGCTGTAAAGAATAGCTACTAAATGACTTCTAAATTTATGGTGAAGCAACTTTTTAAGGGCACCTGAGATAACCCTTATCTTAAACACTAGCTTGGAACATATATCCTTAAATTGCTAGACTGGGTGTGGTGACTAAATGTCAGTGGGTCATACTCAGCTTTATCATGCTAAAGTTCTAGAGGCGAGCTCAAATTTGCTATGTACTCGAATTGTGGAAGTTATCATAGAATCATAGAATGCTTAAGGTTGGAAGGGACCTCTGGAGATCATCTAGTCCAACCCTCCTGCACACGCAGGGTCACCTAGAGCACGTGGCACAGGACTGCGTCCAAGCGGGTTTGGAAGATCTCCAGAGAAGGAGACTCCACAACCTCTCTGGGCAGCCTGTTCCAGTGCTCTGTCACCCTCACTGTTAAAAAATTTTTCTTAAGTTCCTGTGGAACTTTGGTGCTTCAGTTTGTGGCCATTTCCTCTAGTTCTGTCGGTAGCCACCAGTGAAAAGAGGCCAGCCCCATCCTCCTCACTGCCTCCCTTGAGGTACTTCTAGACACTGCTCAGGTCCCCTCTCAGCCTTCTCTTCTCCAGGCTGAACAGGCCCAGCTCCCTCAGCCTCTCCTCATAGGGCAGATGTTCCAGGCCCCTGATCATCCTCGTAGTCCTGTGCTGGACTCTCTCCAGCAGCTCCTCATCCTTCTTGTACTGTGGAGCCCAGAACTGGACACAGTACCTCAGACGTG